AAGAAGGTTTATGACTCCTTAAAATCTATAATTTCTATGGGCATTCTGTACTGTCATAGTATTTTACATGTTACAAGAAACGATTATGCCACTGCCAGATTGCATGTGGTGGTGGCTGTGTTATGATTTTTCTGCCTGCCGGTTATTATTACAGGTGGCAGCTCTCTATTGCCAGCCTGTAGCTTGCGTAGGTAAATGGTATGAGCTGCTTACCTATTTCTGTTCCTTGCACATTAAGTTGTTGCTTACTAGTCCGATGGGAGCTTCCATCTTGTAATTGGAGACACTTACAACGTTACGCGCCATCGTACGTGGCAACTTTCATAGTACGATCCAAAAATATTTCCTTTGATTTAAGGTTTCCTTTGATACCAGCCCTGTTGCTATTCCACTGTGTTCGGCGCTGTATGTAAACACATAAATTTGGATAACAGGGTTTACTTGAGAATCCCACCACTTCCACGACAGAGTCACGCAGTAGACGTTTAAGAATGAGCGCTGTCGCTCGCGAGCACTTGTTATGGGCTAAAAATGGTATTTTGGATATTTCTCAACTACCAGATAAGAGTAGCAGGAGTACAAACATTGTTTGGCCACATTGTTAAGCACATATATGGACCAACAATAGCGCGTCAGTTTTTTCTTTAATTTTCACATATTTAACCGAGAAAACTCGAAAAAACTGCTTTAAAATCAAGTTGGTGTGTTAAAATAGAAAAATTTTAAGCGAATAAAGAGGCATAACAATAAAGTACGGCACTAATAACAAATCCCTGACGCGGTTTTTTTACCACAATCCTTATGTTATCAGTAAAACGAGTGTAAAATTAATTAATCCGAGTAGGAGTTGTAATCACAGAGAACTATCCGATTTATACATCGGCTACATTGTCAGAAATCCGAAACGGAAAATCGCGTTTTTCTATTTTTCACAAATGAGTGAATGCCTGTGTGCAAAATGGGTGAACGTATGTGATATATCTATTGTTAGTATTTACTGCGACATATCCATGACTAACTGACACTTCTAAATTGGTAGAATGTTCCATGCACCTTGAGAAATTCTGAGAAATTACGAGGTTACCATCGCAGAACGCGCGAACTTCGCTCATCCTGACGTCACAAAGCTAATATGTCAACAAACGCGCGCGATGTACCTCACTATAGTAAGGAGTGTTGCGAGGTGTTAGAACTATTTTGGGCGTGGGATACTTGCAGAGAAAAAATATAATTTATTTTTCGCGGGCTACTTTTCAAGCTCGCGTGCATGAAAATAGCACTCTAAAATTTTGTTTGCATTTAACTCTATGCAAATTTACGGGGGCTCTTTTTGGCATTTCCGGGGCTCTTTTTGGCATTTCGGAGGCTAAATCGCCCCGAGCCCCCGTGTATTTTTTTCACTGGATACTTGTTGGATCACTAGCAGATGTACATGAATGTACATGAATACATGTAATGATAGCTGTAGCAGGGTTGACCCTTAATGATACCGGCTTAGTTCGGTTGTATCATGTCTCTGACGTCATAATGACGTCAGCCGCTGCTTACTACACATGTACGCGGGCAAGCAAAAACGCTCTGACAGTTCACATGTACCGTTATATGGAGAAATTAGCATGTACACAGGTGGCACATAGTGTTAGCCATCGAATAAAGTTGAAAACGAAAAATCGATGAAATTTCATGCACAACGTGGAGAGTATCCTTAACCAGCAGTGGTATTGGACGAACTAAAACTCGTTTGGCTATAAGTATAAGGTTATGTACTTATTAACTACGCAAGGTGCCACTTACTCTAGCATTCGTCAACATTGCATAATCAATTGGCCTAGTATGCCTTTAAGTCGTCGTGGAAGTCAAAGTCCCGATTTTTTCTGATGATAAATCCATTTGAATAGCCCCGCCAAAGTCGTCATTTACAATCCGTCATGACCCTTAGACAGGTCCCATGTAATACAAACAACAGTAAAATTCTATCTATATGTCGTCATCAGAAATGCCGATGGCGCAGTGTATGCAGCCCAATGTATGGCGAATTCCTCGTAAAATGATGACTCATTGTTTCGCGGAATGCAGACACTCCAAGTCATCGAAATGCCGGCTTTGTAAGTCATCAAAATGACGATGCATGCATATGTCGTCATTTTGGCGACTTGCACATAAGTTGACAAAATTACGACTTACACGTATATCGTCATTTTCGTAAGTCGGCACAAAAATGCTGGTCCCAAAAGTGCAGACTTATGCGAGATTTACTGTATTTTGCATAATCAACATGCCCTAATTTGCAGCTGTTTACTTTTGACAATCCCAACACATTTGTACTGCGTTTTCACAGCTAAATGTATACGGCTCTGGAGTGATTGAGTTTACCTGGATACTGGGACCTCTTATGACTTACTCTCTGGACTCCAATTGGTACAACCCCATTAAATAATTCATCTCTCCATAAATGACGTGCGGACGTGCCTTCTGAAGTCTATGGAAATAACCCTGTTATGACATTGCATGGCAGTGTATATAGTGAATGAAAAAAAGTTAATTTCTAACCCCGATATATATATACATATATGTATATATATATCGGGGTTAGAAATTAACTTTTTTTCTGGGACCAGGGTAGAAAGTACTTGCTGCCAGGGAAAAAAGCATGCCTCTCTCTGTTCATAATGAAGCTGGTTTGACAGCAAGTACTTTCTACCCGGGAAAAAATTAATTTGAAGAATCCCAGAAAATTTCCTCTTGAAACATTACGAGATTCTAGACTCTCTCGTAACTTTAAGATTAAGATGAAAATAACACATTTACGAAATGAATTGAAATGATAGACTTTGTGATATTATATTTTCTATTAATTTAGTAAAATGTGTTTTTCATGGACAACAGGTCAGAAACACAACTTATCTACCGATCGTGTACCAAAACAAACATTTACAAACATGTGGCGTTTGTTTTAGTTTTTGATATTTTGATGAGTCATGATGCTCACATCTTGTGCTGCTATGAACTACAAATTCGTGAACATGTCATTTTGAATCAGATATTATTTATATATGTGGTTAACCATTATAATATCAAAAGCTAATAAACACCTAGAGTGTACAACAGAAAAACGGGAAAATAGTGCTATTTCACGGCAATATTATTCTACTTTGCCTGCGAGTCTAGAATAATTTTATGGTACCTATTGCATTAAGCCGAATTCTTTGCTCTCTAAAACAAGACCAACCGCTTGTCAATATGATACTCCTAGGCTGAGATATTGGCTCGTAAACTTCCCCTCCCACAGGCCTCACGGCGCCACGCATCCACAATATTCACTATCCTTCTCGCCTTTTGCGGGTTAGGAAAGTCGCTTCGTGAGAGTTCGTTTTTTTCTGCGATAACTTTATGAATGAACGGCGTTTCGGTTATCATCGGTGACTTTCGGGGGCATCGCCTATGCCCTTATCTCCCTTTATCTTTCCTAGCACGGCTAAAGCTGTGTTTACACTGACGATTTTGTGTTGCCGAATTGCCAAATTGTACGAACTTGGCCAGTTGGCAACTGACAATCGGCAGTGTAAACGCAAAAGTTGGACGACCAACCGATCGGGCGCAGCGAGTTGGGAAATTAGAACATGTTCTAATTTCACCGACTCGGAGCGGTCGAGTCGGACGTTTTTTTGCCAAGTGGCCAATCAGAGAACAGCAATCGGGAGGTGTGTGCCTCCACCCTAGAGGGAGAGCACGTTTTTGCTATCGGCGCGACGCTGGCGGCGTGGAATACATGCAAAAATTCGTATCGGCGTCGCCCCGCGTGTACCTACCGGTCAAATGTTGAAACGTTTGCCGCCTCGCGGTCGCTTTGAATATTTATAGAGAGGTTGGTAGAAAGAAGAAAAACGCCAAGTCGCCCGCATAAAATCGGCCTAAAATCGTCAGTGTAAACCCAGCTTAATGCCCGTCATGATGGAGCCGGCAATGTTTTATAAGTCTCTACAACGCAGCTCAGTTACTATATGGTGTAGTAAGAGTACCAAATTTGGGCATGTGACATCAATTATCAGCGCTCCAAGCGGCGACGGAAAACGATAGCCAGACCCGCAAAAGGCGAGAAGGATAGTGAATATTGTGGATGCGAGGCGCCGTGAGGCCTGTGGGAGGCATGATTACGCTCCAATATCTCGGCCTAGGAGTATCGTAGAGACAAGCGGTTGGTCTTATTTTAGAGAGCAAAGAATGCTGCTTAACGCAATACCATGAGCGCTCTACTTAGTCTAGAACCGCATACAAAGTAGAATAATATTGCCGTTAAATAGCACTATTTTCCCGTTTTCCCGTACACTCTCTAGAGGTATTTATTAGCTCTTGATAATATGCATAAATCACTGTCCTGTACATATCAAGATCAAGAAATGTCTATGAATATGAGTTTTGTGATCGATTCTCATCCAATCAGCAGCCTTGTGAAAACAAATCATCAATTAAAAAAAATAATTCACGTGAACTGACCTCATTACCTCTGCCCAACGGAGTTGGAGGAGGTTATGTGATCGGTCTCGTGTGTTCGTGTGTTAGTGTGTTTGCGCGATCGATATTAGCGTGTCGAGGCAGCTAGCCAGCGAGCCAGCTCGTAACACATAGATACATGTTACATGGGAGCTACGCTGCATGGGAGCATGGATGTTACGCTGGCGTATATCGTGGGTTATTCGTGTGTTCGTGAGTCGTATGTCGTATCAGTAGTGTCATAATATAGATAATGTTCTACTATAGTGTTACTTTAGTACTATAGTTACTTTACTATTGCTATTATGTTATACTATTACTAATATGTTATACTATAAGCATTTAAGCAATCATTGATTGCTTGAGCAATCTCTTCACTTCTATCAGAGCTACGATAGTACGCTGGCGTATATCGTGGGTTATTCGTGTGTTTGTGAGTCGTATGGCGTATGGCGTATGTTGCTGGCGGAGGTATGCACTCTCCGTGAGTGCACTATGTCTAGTTCTAAATGCAACTGGTATGAGTATGACACAACCCATAAATATCTTCATGCTATTTGGTTCACGCAGATCATGATGATCACAAGAGAAATTCAATAATACACTGGGTTAACGTAGTTATGACGAACTTGAATATAAATAGGAGATCATGTACTATCTTTTGGAACTATTTAGTTCAGGAAGCAATATTGCAACAGAAATCAAAGTTGATCAGTGGCTTTGCTGCACATTTGGTTGTAGGGTAGCAGTGATGTGATGCATCCTCAATGTGAACTTTGGTTAAAAACTCAGTAGAGCACTGGATCTAGTTTAAACATGTATGACCATATTTTACAGTAAGTGGGCTGAATAATGTGCTGCAGCTGAGCTTGGTCACTTTACTGCACTAGTTGATTTACGTTGACGTTACGTTACGTTGACGCACTAGTTTTCATGCGCACACATCTTTGCATTGTTTTATTTTGATTTTTACCCTATCCGATGTTATCACGATTTCAGATTGGCAAGACTTACAAGGGATTTGACTGGAGCTCAGAGAAGTCTGACCACAGCAGAAACTCAAGTACACGACCTGACTATCAAGTATGATACTGCTAACAAGGATCGCAAGAAGGCCGAGGATGAGCTCAGGGTTAGTAATTTTAAGAGGTCATGCTTTTGCTGTTGTATAACAAATACAATAAGAACTAATAATTTCCTAGTTTAAACAGTATAGCTTCATCTACTTGGTAGATTTCACAATTTGCACAGGTGGCAATAAAAAGAAGCATTAAATTGTTGTGAACCATGTGATTTCTCACAAAACAGTGAAATGTCTGATTTGGTGGCTGTGTCTGGCACTCTTCCAATAATTACATGGCATCAACTTGGATTTAAGGAAAGTTCATTTGTAATTGCTGTATATTTTGGGGGATATAACAATGGGCAAGGTCACCTGAGGTAATATAAGCATGAAGTGCTGGAAGTGCTTATATAGTATTTTGCTCATTTTCTCAGCCATTTGAACACTTGTTCAAATGGCTGAGAAAATGAGCAAAATACTACTTTCAGGTAAATTGGGTATGAATGGTATATACTATTTATTATAATTAGCTGACAGATATAGTTCCACCCTTGTTTTTTTGCGTGGTGTCTTTTACATTTTGCTGCAAGATTTACCTATCCAATTTGCTTATTCCTATTTAAATGTGACGTACAGCTGTCCACAACCAAAGCTTGTCTTTCGTTTCATCAACACTATTTCTATTTATAGCAACTCAAGAAGGATATGGCAGATTTTCAGACACAACTTTCAGCCGCTCGCAGTGAGCTGGAAAATGAAACCCTGTTACGTGTTGACTTGGAGAATCGCTGCCAGAGTCTCAAGGAGGAGTTAGCCTTCAAAGCCAACCTTTATGAAAACGTATGTCATTACATAAACAGTGTGTATATACGCATATATGGGCAATTCTGTGAGAAAATGTACACAACTTTCAAATTTAAAATTCATAATTGTGCATTTCCAGTCAAAATTAGCAATCTAAATAGCAAATTTTTTAATTTTTTAAGTGGAATGTGTACAAAATTCTGAGTGATTGGCTCCCGGTTTATTCCTCTTTAAATGCAATATCAGTCAGAGTGGAATTGCTCGTGTGCGCGTGTGACACCGTGAGTGTGTGTGTGTGCATCTGTCCGATGTGTGTGTGCGCTAGTGGTGTTCCGATTAATCGAGTTCCTCGATCATTACTCGTTTGGGCTGCTGAGTTGATTAATCGAGTAGAAAATCGGCCGACCAAGTACAACTCGAACTTTTTTTCAGAATGTTACATAAACAGTTTGTAAGTACATACCTATACACATACCACTTCGTGGTACATGTATAGACTTGTGAACATTAGTCTTGCTATTAGGGATCATATAATATCAAGAGCGTATATAAAGAAGGAGAGTGTACAACGGTGAAATGGTGAAACCATGTTGCATTATTAGTCGAATTAAGAAACTTTGCCCGTTTTATTTTGACGATTCTTTGCAGTATTATTGATCAGCTGTCCTACCTTGTTAATATAAAACAAACCGCTTGACCCTACGATGCTCCTACGCTGAGATAATGAGCGGTGAAAATGGTATTTCAGTGAAAAAAAATTCATTGATAGCATAGAGAGACATCTCTCTTATGTAATGGATATGAGTTTGATTGAATTTGATGAGCAGTTATGTTGCAATGCCCTTTAGAGTGTTACCCGTCCGTAACCCTAACAGTATCCTTAATTTACTTACCATTAAATACTAGCTACACATACAATAATGTCAATATTCCTTCGCAATACACCGGTTGTGTCGACGATGACGCGGCGTCACCGCGTCGTCACCGCAATCTAAAATGATCGATGATTAATCGATCATCGGTCGTTTTGTAAAACCGATGATCGATCATGAAATTTGGACCGACACTAGTGTGCGCGCATGCGTGCGGTGTGTGTGTGCGCGCGTGCATGCGTGCGGTATGTGTGTGTGCGTGCATGCGTGCGATGTGTGTGTGCGTGCATGCGTGCGATGTGTGTGTGTGTGCGCGCGCATGCATGCGGTGTGTGTGTGCGTGTGCATGCGTGCGGTGTGTGCGCGCGTGCGGTGTGTGCGCGCGTGCGGTGTGTGCGCACGTGCATGCGTGCGGTATGTGTGCGCGCGCGCATGCGTGCGGTGTGTGTACGCATGCTCGCACGCGTGAGGTATGCAGGGTGCGAAATTAACGCGGGTCCGGAGTCAAATACTCCCTGATTTACTGTCAGACTCCCTGATTTGACATATGCAGGAGTTTGTGTGACTCCCAGAAAATTCTGTTATACAAATTAGTAGTAGTTTGTTCCAGAGCACGGCCTCGCGGAATTACCGTATTTTTCAGCAAATGTCCAAAGGAAATTTGGCAGACGTGCATGGCAATAATCTTCAAAATAAGCATATGTATGTGTTATTGTTGTTATGCTTCAGTTTTGAACTTCAGACTACGGACTCCCTCTTTTTGAGGGCAGGGAGTCCGTTGGACTCTCTTGTTCATTCAAAAGTTAATTTCTACCCCTGGGTGCGTGCGCGCGTGTGCGTGCGGTGTGTGTACGCATGCTAGCAAGTGTGTGGCTGTGCGGATGGCAATCTGTGTCTGAGACGCACTTGCATTTCTGTTGGAAACTACCCATGTACTCTTTCTAATGCCGAGACGCACAAGAATCTAAAACATACTGGTTTTCTATAGGAAATGAAGGAAGTACGCACCAACGAAAGAATTGGCGGTCACTGAGGTGGATAGTCGTCTGCAAGAGGAATACGAGCACAAATTGGCTGATGCACTCAGGAGCTGCGTGATCAATATGAAGAGGCAGAGCGCCATTCACGCGTGACGAGATAGAGCAGATGTATGAGAGCAAGGTGAGATTGATGATGGGAGAATCCGTCGGGACCCCAGGTTGCGACTGCATAGTTCGCGACGTCGGTGGTGGAGAGAGTTTTCCCCTGTTACGTAGAGGAAACCCACGAAAAACAACATAATTTAAATGAGTCAGCAACAGTTTCGACAACTATTGTTGAACATGTTCAAGCTAAAAGCAGGTGTAAAAGCTTGTACCAGATGACAATAGGTTATGAGCCAGGGGCCGGTTTACACAGAAGCGTACTTAAGATTTGAATCGTGATTAAATCACTAAATCATGATTAACTTCTGCGTACTTAAATTAAAAGTTGACTGTTTCACGAAGCGTAATTACTTTTAAATCATTTGATTAAGTTAATCACAATATTTAATTCTACTCAGGAGCATGATTAAATCCAGCTAATCATAATTCAGTGGCTAGTATAGAAACTTAGAAGTAGGTAGTACTAGTATATTAGTACGCTGCCAGATTTCCAATGGGAAATTTTACTTCGCAATTTTTTTCCCAAGGAAACTTTAAATTATCTAGAGATTTGCTGTACTACTTCAAATCAATTCATAGTTTACAAATTAATTCCCTTTTCATGTAACCGAACTTGAAGATATTTTTGGCAGTATTGGTCGCCAATATGAATACGGCGGTGTATTTGTTTTAAGACTGGTACTCGCTCCACCTCGACTACTCGATTCCCATCGATGTAACTAAGGACCGAAGGGGGAGCTGAGTTACCAGTCCTATTCATGTTGAAGTCGGCTATATTATGTTGATTAGTTAAATAATGTAGCTTAAATCGGCTCGTGAACAGATTTTAGCTCATCTGACATAGTCAGATGGCGCCTTGTAGAATCGCATGATCGTCCGTAAGAGCCATCGAATCAGTAGATGAAAGACGACGGCAGTAGCGCGTCCGTGCCGTCAACAGTTGGGCAGCCAATCTAAGCCGCTGCGAACGTACGGTCAGAGATATTCGGGACGTGGGGGGGTAATCCGAAAAACGAGTTGGGATGTGGCTGGGGGTCAAATCAAAGGTCAAGAGTGTAAAAAAGGGGGAACATTCACTCTTAACTTAAGGTAATAGGAGGAAATGCAGAATGCGGCAGCACGAATCTAACGGCTCGACGCTAGGCTCGTGATAGTCCGGTGTATAGGCATCATGGTAGGAAAAGCCATCACTGTGCCGAAATTGAAGGTACAGGTCAAGGTCAATGTGGCACAGGGCAGATGTTTAGACATTTTTCTGAGGACATGGTGTGAAGCGGAAGGCGATTGAAAACTTGTTTGTTTCAGCGGTGACGCTAGCATTTTATGGCTATTTATTGAAAGGACATGAAAATATGCTTTCTGCACTGACATGCGAACAAGAGTAAGTGTCCGGATAACGTGGTGCGTTTTATACTTTTGACCCTCAAGAGGAGGGTTAAACATTGATTTGTTGACTGTTAACAAAGGACTGAACTGCTTTTGGCTATTATTAGAGCGCGCATACCTGTGTCAATGTGAGGCCTACAGTTGGCCACAGTTTATTCAAAGGCAAATGTTTGTTGAACAAAGGTTAAGGCTCCTTAAAGTCATCATGGCTTTTTCTAAAGCAGTGTCTATAGCAACCTGCCCCTGGGCCCTAAGGCTAAATGATGAATCAGTGGAAGTGCTTCGACCATGAGGCAAAAACACAGGCAGCCGCATGGCTTTGGCACGCTCCTAATCACATAAATTGTTGCCTGCCACGAACTGACAATGCACGCGACTGTTAACGTCACAAGCTTGAGCAACATGCCTGAATATACTTACTTGATTTTAGCCTGTACCTAACTGTAGGATTTCAGGAACGATGCGCATTTTGATTATTGATACACTTGCAGCCCATAGGGGAAAAAATACAGCGGGGCGGCGGGCGATTTCGGCCCGCCGAAAATGCGAAAAGAGCGCCCGCGAAAACATGATATGGGGGGCGATCGCCAAAAGCAAAAGTCGCCTCTGGAAATCGATTTTGTCGCAGGTCGGTCCCGCGCCTTGGGCCGATCTGCGCTCGCTCTGGCCGCTAGCGGCAGCCCGTTCCAAAGCGGTGCGGTAGAATTCCTGGTAGCGGTGTGGCTGTCAGTGTTTATCATTAGCATGCATGTGTGTACTGTATGTAAAATTGCCTTCAAATCAAGCGGTCCGCCGCCGCCCGCGCGTATTATATACGTGTGTGCATGGTGCGCGTGCTTACGTTGCCTGCGCGCTGTGCGTGCGTGCCGGTGTGCAGCGGGCGTGCTTGGCAGTGTGTGCGTGCGCGCAGTGCGTGCGTGCGTGCGTGCGTGCGTGTGTGGCGTCTGTGTGTGGCCGGTGTGCATGCGGGTGCTTGCGTGTGTGCTCTGCGCGCGTGGCGGCATGTTGTGCGCGTGGCGTGCGTGCCTGCGCGCGTGCGCTGGCCTGCGGGCGTGCCTAGTAAGACCACCGTAAGACAACGACGCCGTAGGATTATAAGAACGGTAATGCGCCATGGGAAAATCCTAATGAAAATTCACGACGTATATTTTCGGCCTGGCGGGCCTGTGGGCCTCGTGATGTTCATTCCGAGAATTGTAGCTTTTTGTCAATTCCCCCGAAAGAGTTTTGCTGTCGCTCTCATCATAGTCCAGCAATACAACCCTCTACATTTTAGTTACGTGATTAGTTATTCTACGTCTGAATACAATTCGTGCCCCCCCCCCATACTCTATCAATCTTGCCCGTGCCAGGCAAGGACGTACCGCAGCGTCGATGTGCACAGCCATTCACACGGCCTCGCGGGCCGCTTTCCTCAGAACCCCCTGAGCTGCAGGGCCCTTACGGCGGGCCTTGACCCCCAGGCCGCAAGAGGACTTCGCATATAAACAATCGATGCCTGCCTCGCTCGTAGCAGGCAGCCATTCCACTATTTGGCTAAGCCGTAATAGTTCTGTGTTAGCTTGAACCTGTGATCATATTCACTATTCAAAGTGCCTTTGTGGTCTGTGACTTGTGAAGTTGTGAATATCATGTAGTCTGTCAGTCTGATGAATAATGTCTTGAATATTGACTGTTGTGTGTGTGTGTGTCTGTGTGTGTGTGTGTGTGTGTGTGTCTGTGGGGTGTGTGTCTGTGTGTAGCGTGTGTGTGCGTGCCGTGCGTGCGTGCGTGCGTGTGTGTACGTGTGTGTGGTGTGGTGGCGGCGCCCGACCGCGAGTCGTGTATTAGTAAGGTATTAGCTAGCTGTGCTTGTGTGTACAATTTGAGGAACCAGCCCTGGAAAAAGTCCGCCCTGGAAAGTGGAAAAAGGAGCGCCTGGAAAATGAAAAAGTAGCCCCTGAAATCTTTGGGGGGGGTTTTGCAAAAGAGCCCCGGAAAGAAAAAAATTAATTTTTTCACTGACTTGCAGCGCGCCATCGTCAGCGGGCAACTATAGGCCTAGTTTAAATTAGATTTTATTCTCATGTAACTTTGTTAAACGAATAAATAATAACTAGTACCAATATAATATATAATATTTAGCTTTTCATGCTTGGATCTTAACATATATCATGTAGCCTATGGCCGTGCGTATCCATTTACCAGTTGTGCGAACATAAGCTGTTACCATAAGAAAAAAAAAAAAATAGGTAGAGACACTGGATATATGTATGATTTCTATGACTGTTACACTCAAGGGGCATAGGAAGAAAGCATTATTGAGGGGGCAGTAAAAGGCATCATGCGCTGGGTTTTAATTTTTTTTAATATAATTGATAGAGAGAGAGAGAACGTCTAAGATAAAGAGAGAGAGAGCAGTAGTAATTGAGACGGGGAAGAAAAGCGGTTGATACGGTGTGTAATGCGAGCGGGAAACGGGGTACAATTAGGTCGTGCGAGATGGTGTGCAAGGGGATGGGAGGTGGGAGGCAGGGGTAGGGAGGTCGAAGGTCAGGGGAGGGAGATGGGAGGTAAGGGGGGTGGAAGTGAAGAGGCAAGGGGAGTGAAGTGGGAGGCAGGGGGCGGCCGGCACGGGAGGAGGGAGGGAGGTGGGGAGAAGGACTCGCCCCGCCCCCTCTAAATTATACTTGGAAGATCCATGCTCATATCAGGGCCTTTGAAACTAAACGCTCGCACCGCTGCGCCGAGCTAGTAGAAAATCAGTAAGGGCTTAGTAGAATGTCTGGTCTGAACGCAGCCTGTTTGGGCGAGTGGAATTGCTACGAGATAACATAATTACTAGTAGCTTTTTCAGCAACTACTAACCGACCGAATAGTAATAAGTAATATCAAAATTTGGAGCAACAGTCACAGTCAGCCGTCAGACAATAAAATCGGTCAAACACCATGCCTGGCTCTATTCACAGCTTCATGCCCAATTTAAATCCCCTCAACAGTGTATATACGCAATGCGTTTCTGTTCTACTTTCTTTTTAAGCGTTTCGTGGATAACCGTTTAGTTAAACATAGTTTACGTTTCAGGCTGACCTCAGGGTTAAACACTACAAAACCCTTTTGAAATGCATTCAGAAGCAGAAAGCACTAACACTTTCGCCCTTTTCAAATCGAAAGATTATTTCAATCTAGCAATCTCAACTATAACAAAATCTCAACTAAACACAAACAAGGATAACTCTACTTATATAACTCTATATTGTACTTGTAACTAAACTACTAACAAACTTCTGTAGCTTGTGAGTAGAGAATCTACCTAGTAGTAAGTAGAGATAGTCACAAACGGTTCAAATTAAACTGAACTTTCATACTTTCCGTAGACTGACTAATAGTTACTATTAAGGAAATCATTCCGCTCTTATAACATAGTTACTGATGTATTTTGGTAATATATGTACAGTATATATATATGTATGATATAATCAAAGGAGCGTAATATACACCTAGAGTGTACAATGGGAAAAATGGGAATAGTGCTATTCAGCGGCAATATTAATTCTACTGAGGCCTGTGAGGGAGGCATGATTACGCTCGCAATAATGTCGGCCATAGGAGTATCTGAGAGACAATTAAGGCGGTTGGTCTTATTTTAAGAGAGCAAAGAATGCTGCTTACGCAAATATTCATGACA